GTGTGTGTGTGTGTGTGTGTGTGTGTGTGTGTGTGTGTGTGTGTGTGTGTGTGTGTGTGTGTGTGTGTGTGTGTGTGTGTGCGTATGTGTGTGTGTGTGTGTGTGTGAGAGAGAGAGAGAGAGAGAACATAAAAAACAAAATGGTTATGTTTTTTTTTTTTTTCTTTCCATCTGAAACCCCTCCCGCAAAATTTCACTTTTTTTCTTTTTTTTTGTTGATTATGGTGGCGGACGCCATGCGCAGGCGATGCGCGCGCCGTGATTTTGGGCGTGCGGCTTCGTCTGCGTGCGACACGGCCGCAAAAAAACTAGGCCGCGCGTTCTAGGCCTCGGGATCCGAGGCCGAGGGTGCCACATAGCCCACCGCGGCAGCGCCCCTACCGACAGCGTGCTCTTCGTTAGCAGGTTCTCCAGCTTCCTCATCTTCTTTGACATCCACCGCGTCGGTCTCCTTCCAGGAATGCGCCCGTGGAAGCAGATGTGAAAGACGATAACGACCACTAGCAGCACAACGATGAGCAGCAGCAGTGGCAGCCCGCGGTACAGGTCAGCCATCAACGACACCGCAGCCGAGATAGCACACGCACTTGCGTTGTTGCATTTGCGGAGAGTGACGACACATGGTAATCGCGAAGACGCCAAGGAAGCAGATTCATGCAGGGAGCGAGTGGGGGCGCCGGCTACAAAATCCGTATTTTCTACCGTTGGGAAGCCCGCCCGAATGCCACGAGCCATCGAGGAGCCGGCCGAAGACGTCCTATCTCGGCCACGTCCCTACCGACCGGCCGCCCAAAGAAGCCAAAGCGCCATGTTGCGAATCACCGTCAATGGTAAACTCTGGAGGCTGTTGCAGGACGTATTCGAGGAGGACGGCGCACGATGACCATCGATGAGACCAGTGGTCCACGACTGGACCACCTTCGGCCTCCAAATTTCCTTCCTCGGTCGACGTCAACGAATCGTCAATCGTGGATCCTCGGGCTCCAAAGGACCTCGTGAGGTCCCTTCGAACCAAGGGCGATTTTGCTGGGCCTACTGGTATAAAAGTGTGTAGAACCGGTAG